CACTGATACTGCCTTCAAAGGATTTGGAAATTGATGCCCAACCTGTTTGGCCACATTCTGAAGGCCCCTTGCATGGTATCAAGTCCTGGAGCAGGACTCGAACTTGAAACCTCTGGCTCAGAGGGTCACTGCATGCTCCTCCACCAGAATCACCCCCACATGGAAATTATGGTCAAACTTTACTATCCACAACCGACAGTGAGCACTGATGGTGTGAAGTTAATGGGAGAAGCTGCCAGGTGTGTCATGCGACAAGAGGTCACTTCACTGCATCAAATGGTGGGAACTATTTCTCCAGCCTCATTGCATCCTTCCTTACTCAGATCAGTCAGGACTCCCTCACCTCGATTTTGCCTGTCTTTGCAGCCAGTTTCAAGGGGGTTAGTCCCTTTTCGTTCTTCACATTTTCCAGGTTCAGCTCTGGGTTGATCTTCACCCCCATCCTCAGCAGGTAATCATACATGTGGATGATGAACTTGGTGTTCTCCTTGGTGTTGTCGGAGATGGACACCAACGCGTGGAGTACATTGTTCCCCATGGAATCTGTAGCTGAGATATCTGCTGGGCTGTATGGGTTTTCCAGCAGGTGAGTCACCACGTCCAGCTGGTTTGTGCAGGCAGCCAGTGAGAGAGGCAGCTCCCCTGTTGGTGGAAGAGATCAAGTCTCAACAACTATAACATGCAATTACATGGCATCCTCAATGTGGTAAACTGCTCAAAGCCCCTTCACATCGTTACAATCAGAGACAATTAGACACAAAGTCAAATGAGGAAATATTAGGGCAGTCAAGGACATGGGTTTCAAGAAGCCTGGTAAAGAAGGGGAGAGAGAGACACAGAGACCTTTAGGGAGGGAATTCCAGAGCTCATGCCCACACAAGGCATTGCGAATAGTGGTGGAGAGGACTCGGGCATGCAGAGGCCTTGGAGGGGCTAGAGAAGGTTACAGACATTGGAAGCGGCCAGGCCATGGAGGGACTTGAAAACAAGTATGGGAATTATAAAACTGAGGCATAACTGGAAACTGATTTTGATGAGAGAACACAAGACTGTGGGAACAAGTGAGGGGACTTAGCGTAATTTAAGACATGGGAACTGACCTTTGGACAAGGTCAACTTTATGTAGTGCGGAAAATAGGCAGGAAGAACATTCATCAGAATAAGAATATTTATTAGAGCACTTGAAACGCCATGGCATACAAGGCTATGGGCCAAGTGGTGGAAGATATGTTTAGAATAGATGTTTGATGACCAGCATGGATACAATGGGCCTAAGGGCCTCTTTCTATGTAAGGGCTCTTTTCATGTAATACTCAAGTCAAGAGATAACAAAGGTAACAAATACTGAGGATTTCAGAAGCAGATAAGCTGATGAAGTAGCAGACAATGTTATAGAGGTCAAAACAGGTGGTTTTGTTAATGGAGCAGATATGAACTTGGAAGCTCATCTCCAGGTCAAATAGCACACTGTTACAAACGACTTTGGAATGAACATAGAACGGTACAGCACAGTACAGGCCCTTCGGCCCACAATGTTGTGTCGACCTATTATCCTACTAAGATCAAACTACCCTGCATACTCTACATTTTACTATCCTGCATGTGCCTATCCAAGTCTCTAAAGTATCTGACTCCACTACCACTGCTGGCAGCGCATTCCACACACCCACCACTCTCTGTGTGAAGAACCTACCTCTGACATCTCCCCCATACCTCCCTCCAATCACCTTAAAATTATGTCCCCTCATAACAGTTATTTCCGCCCTGGGAAAAAAGAATGTTCCAAGGAAGTGGGGAGGGAGGGATATAGTGACAAGAAGACAGAGATTGGGACAGAAAATGGCTTTCATGTTCCCATTTCTTCACCGAAAGAGTAGTGAGCCTGTGGAATTCATTACCACAGGAAGCAGTTGATGCCAAAACATTGAATGCATTTGATAGATGACTAGATATAGCACTTGGGGCAAATGGAAATAAAGGTTATGGGGAGAAAGCAGGATTAGGCTACTGAGTTGGATGATCAGCCATGATCGTGATGAACGGCGGAACAGGCTTGAAAGGATGAATGGCCTCCTCCTGCTCCTATCTTCTACGTTTCTATGAAAACACTGATAGGAACACATAAAATTCATGTCTTATGAATCTAGTTTAAGCTAGTTTAACTAGAGCACAGCTGACCTGTATCTTAACTCCATCTATCTACCATTAGACAAGGACTCTTGTGGTGATGTGATGGCATCCCTACCTCTGGACCAGGAGGCACTTGCTCCAGAGGACTGTCATAACATGCCTCAACAGGATGATTATGAATATCTGTCACTAGCCATATCCCAGCAGCTACATGTCCATCATTTCTACTCTGTCTTCTCATCTCCTAACTGATTCTGCATCAGACCTTGGAAGTGTTAAAAATATTCTGATCTTTGGTTCAAAGTGGACAATATCATTCTTCTACCTTTTAATCTCTGAATATTGCAGCACAAAATGAAGCCATTCAGCCCACTGAGTTTGCATTGGCCCTTAGAAAGATCCAGTTAGTCCCATTTCCCAGCTCTTCCCAATATCACCGTGTAGTGATTGGAATGAGGTTGGCCTGGTAGATCTCATTAAGTATGAGATCACTGATTGGAGTTGTTAACCTGGGCCAGTCAGGGGCCTCTGGCTGACAGACAGGAACAGGATTTCCAGAGGGTCTCCTCAGTCTAGGGACTGACTCTGAGCTGGCTGGTCAGAGTCCATGTACAGTGTAAATAAAGAGTGACTTGGTGATGGGATACCGGCCTCTGTGCAGTTATTTTGCCCCACAATTATTCTCCTTTGAGACCAGTGGATCAATTTGCCTTTGATTGTTGAGGGAACGCTTTCACTGTATCAAACCAGGTCCTGAAATTCAGCTCAGCTTGGTTTTCCTGAACAGTGAGCCTGCACCAAGAGATATATTTTGAGATGTGAAGGAATTTCTTCTCCCGGAAGATAGTGAATGCATGGAATTATCTATCCCAGAGAGTTGTGAAGGCTAGATCACTGAGAGAATTTAAAGAGGAGGTAGATCTTTGTCATATCAGGGAATTGAGGACTGTGAGGAGCTAGGATAGAAGAGCTGAGGCCTGGTCAATTTGGTCTTGATTTTATTGAATGTTGGGATGGGCCCAAGGGGCCAACTGGCCTATTCCTACTTTTATTTCTTTTGTTCTTATAAGAGTTGTTGGACCTGCGCCTAGTAGGTTTGGCCC